TCAATTATCTTGTTACCTATATCTTCTACTTGATTGATTTCTTTTCCCCTCAGCACATAAACAAACTCACCTCCTTCCATCTTGTAAAAACAAACCCGAACTCCAGAGCCCCCTCTATCTATTACATATTTGCGGTCAAATTTCTAGAACAAGGAAGCTGCATACATTTTCCCTTTTCTCATAGACCATTCTCCTGACACCCCAGCACAGTGTGGTGTATATCTACAGCTCTGTCCTGAACTAGCCTTGCCCATATCACCAGTGACTTGCCAGATTCACATCCAATGGCATCTTTTCTGCCTGTATCTTGCTGGATTTCTGGGCAGCATCTGACACATATGCTCTTGGTAACTCTGTCTTTTATAAAATCCCAGTACCTTACTTGGCTTCCAGGAGAGCCATTTCTCTTTGCTCTGGTTTCACATTGCCAATCCCTCCTCAGGGCTTTGTGGGCTTGTATTCTTCAGTCTCCTCTTTCTCTCACACCATTCATCTAAGGTGTCAACACCAAGTCCAGCCAGTTCTGTCTTCCAAATACATCCAGCGTCCAATCAGTTTCCACCACCTCCACTGCCTCTAACCTGATATGGATCCTGATCAGAGCCTCCTTCCTGACATCTCTGCTTCTTTCCTTGCTGCTATAGCTCCCCAGATGTTTTACTAAAGTCATGTGACTCCTCAGCTCAAAATCCTGCAAAGTCTAAAGTCGTTAAAATGATTCACAAAACTGTACATTGTCTGTTTCCCTGCGTCCTCTCTGACCTCCTCGTCTACAACTTTCCTCCACACTCACTGTGTTCCAGGTACACTGGCTTGCCTAGATGCTCCTCTAACATTTCAGCATGTCACCACGTCAGAGACTTTGTATTTACCTGGAACGCTCTTTCTCTAGACATCCTCATGGTTTGCTCTCTCAGTTGCTCTAGATCTTTGCTAAAATATCACCTTCTCCAACTTCCTTGTTTAAAAGAGCACCCCTCAGTACTCCCTGTACCCATTCCCTGGTCTATTTTTCTTTATCATATTATTTTTTTAAGAGACAAGGTCAGTGTTCCCCGGACTGCAGTGCAGTGGCCATTCACAGGCACAATCCCATTACTGATCAACATGGAAGTTTTTACATGCTCCATTTCTGATCTTAGCCAATTCATACCTCCTTAGGCAGCCTGATGGTCCCCCTCTCCTGGGAGGTCACCATACTAATGCTGAACTTAATGCAGACACCCTATCAGCATAGTGCACTACAGCCCAGAACTCCTGGACTTAAGCTATCCTCCTGCTTCAGCCTCCTGAGTAGCTGGGACTACAGGCACATGCCACTACACTAGGATTGCCATCACATTTATTGTCATCTGAAGTATTGTATATTTTATGTATGTATTTGTTCATTGTCTATCCCTCACAGAGTTTCCATTTTCATAATGAGAAACAGACAATTTAAACATGACACGAAAATAAATAAATAACAATAAGACATATACCAAGAGGTGGTAAATGCTATGGATAAGAAAAAAACAAAGCCCAATTAAAGAATTGGAGAGTGAAGGGGGTGGAAATGGGGATTGCTATTTTATAAATCAACTGTCCAGTGAATGTGTCACTATTAATGACATTTGAGCAGCTACCTGAAGGAACTGAGGTGCAAACTATGGCAATATTCAGAGGACAAACATTGTAGGCAGAGGGAACAGCCTGCACAAAGACCCTAAGTGGGATTTCTGACAAAATTCTGTATGTCCTAACCAAAATCGTTACATTTTCCGAATTCTGTTCCTATATTCATCAGTTCAGTGGATGACAACACCATCCAGCAGTCCCTTGCCCAAGTAAAAAACTCATGAGTTTTTTTCCTCCTCCACTAGACTGACTGCCCTTGAGGCCAGAAGCTGTGTGTAGTCCATCATTCTGGGTAATGAGTGTGTCACTTAACACAGGGCATGGCATAAAGGAGGTGCTCAATGAGTGGTAACATCACACTTCACTGGTGAATGCTGGCACTTAAGCTTGATATTAGGCCTGAAAATGCCTCATTTGACTATGTTCAGTAAACACATGCTCATCACCAAGTTTGTGCCAAGCTCTCTGTTGGGTGCTGAGGATATAAAGTTGAACAACAGATTCTTCCCTGGGAAACTGAGTCTGGGTTTGCACGATCAAAATGAATCTGTGCATAAGAAATCATAGCCTCGTGTGTGTTTACATTAAAAACTGGCTTCAAAGTCAAATTAGCATTTCCATAATTCTGAAGATCTGTACATTGGATCAGAAGGAGACCAATAATAATAACAGTATCAGTAGCTAACATTTATTGAGACCAGCATATGGACTAGTCTCTGTGCCACTTTACATGGACTATTCAAATCTTACACAATTCTGTGATATTGGTGCTATTATTCTCATTTTGCAGAAAAAAAAATGTTGAGACTCAGACAGGTGAATTAGCCAGCCAAGATCATATTGCTTCTAACTGGTGAGCCTGGCATCCCAGCCCAGGCAGTCTGGTGGCAGAGCCACTACAACGTACCACATCCCTGGGAAGGATGAACTTAGCTAGTTGAGCCTCAATTTATCCAGGCAGTCACAGTCTCTTACACTTTGGCCCCAGGCCTTTCTTTCTGGTATAATGTCCAGCTCTTCCTCTCCCCACTACACAAATACTTAGCCACAGCCATCCAGAATCATAGCTCTTGCCCAACCCACCATACCCTCTCACCGATGGGCTTTGGCTTGGGCAGAAACCTTTCCCCTACTTTTCTCATTTGATCCAACCATCAAAGCTATCGTCCATGGAACATTTCTCTGATTCCCCTTGCCACCCTGGGGAGAAGGAGTCTTTTCATCTGCAATGCTCCAGAACACCTTTGCCAGACCTCTAGTCTAGCTTTCAGTTCCTCTCAGAACCCCATTCCCAGGTGCCTCAAAATGGTTATCACTGTACTGCTTCCCCCAGTACCTATCAACAGGCCAGGCATAGAGGAAATGACTATGGAAAACTTGGTGAAGAAAGAAACGGGCATTGTAATGATGTGGCCTAGTCTGTCTACTTGAGTTTATGGAGTTGCCTCCACAAAGCCCAGACATCTGTTCTTACCAGCTTTTCACCGCAGCCACAAGACACTAGGCAGCACGAGGATTATCTCCATTTTTCAGGCAAACAAACTGAAGAAAGTATTCCTGCTACCCACCACCAGTGCCTATCTTGACCAAACAAGTTGATCACGTGTCAGTTAGCATGTGGAATAGGGCCTTAGAGTACTCTCTGTGCAGGGAGGCATTTTGAGGTGCAAGTTTATGCACACACTTGATTTATCCATACATCGTCCCTGGAGAGAAATGGGCCATACAAACAAGAAGCTGTGTTGTCCCCTCCCACATCCTTTTCCCCTTAACACACACACAATATCCTCCCAAGACTCAGTAATATCAGGACCACAAAGAAAGGTGCTCAGCTGGGAGATCTCTAGCATCACAGAATATTTTTGCTTACCTGAAGCCCCATTTCTTTAGGACTTAGCTCAATTTCTCATGAGTTGTTTCTCCCACACTAGTCACTCCAAAAATGGGCTGGTGTCACAGAATGTTTGGTGGCTGGGCAGAAGGTATAGAAGACTAGCCCCTGTGACAGGAGCAGCACAATAGTGCCTGGAACTACTTCGAGCCTGCCACCTGACTACTTCGCACACCTCCTCTTGCCCTGCTTCCACAACTGAGACTGCTCTGGCCTTTTGTTTCCCTGAATCCCAAGTTTATAAACTGCTTCTCCGAATCATAATCTTGGTCTGATTCAGTGAATCAAAGTTCTGAGTAAAATGTGAACAAGTTGCAGTGACCAGAGGCATGAGGTAGGAAGGAGATATAATGAAGGTTCTGGAAAAGAAAAGACACTTCAAAATCAGGCCCACAAATGAGAATCAGGACTTTGCGAAGCAGGAAAGCATAGCCCCAGGGAAACCTTTATAGTCCAGCCATCCTGATGGGAAAAAGTTGCATAATGAGCCAGCAGCAGCTCCTTACTCCTCACCATTTATTTAGACTGGGTACTAGGATGGGACTCTAATGTTCAGTATTGAGTTTTGCTGGCAATGTATTTAATGTCATGAAAGGTGATGGAACATATATGTTTTCCATAATATTCCATGGAAAGTCATGGAATATTATAGAAAGAAAATGAGTTGAACTGTCAGATCTCAAAGATATCAAGGGGGCCTGATGATGCTTACCCTCTCCTCATGGTGATGGGGTGATGGACTGGCCCAGAGAGGAAAATGAATTGGCCAAGGTGTCTAGCAAGTCTAAGGTAGAGGTGGAGTCAGATCCCTAGCAGCTATGTCAGTTCTTGTGCTCCACCCATGCAGAGGCAGCAGTCCCCCTCTTACCAGTTCAGCAGCTGGATCTTTTCAAGACTGCCAGGACTCAGAAGCAGCAGAGAACACTCCTGCAATGCAAAAATAGCACACATTGTTCTCTAATCCTTCTCCCTATCATTAACTTTAATCCCCCCACCTCCCTTTTTAGACACACAGAGTTTTAGGGCTGGGCCTTCTGGATATTCTTGAACTAGTGGTAGAACTAGATTCTTTGTTGCCTCAGCTCACCTGGCCCTGGCAGCCACTAATGCCACTTAATGTCCTTAAGCTAGAGACCCAAGTTCGGCTGGCTCCCTGCCACATCCTACACACAGTAGCAGACAAGGCCAGTACAGGCCTCCTCACTTTGTCCTCAGGCTGACCTCCGGTTTGGACCCAGACAAGATTTTCCTCTTAATATTTAGACTTTTCAGGGAAAAAGGCCTGCACAAAGCCAGGCTCACAAAGGATTGGGGGAAAGGGGACTCTGGAGACCTTGGAGATTCCCTCCACATTCCATAGAAGGTGGGAAATTTGGGTGAGGGTTAAACTATGAAAACAGGTATCATCTCAGAGAAGAAAAGTGAAAGCAATCCTGGAAGGGGAGCCCGGGGCTCTGGATTCCAAATTGGCCCGTGTCGCCGGCAGGCTGGGTAACTGTGGGGAGGGGCTTTCCCTACTCTGGGCAGCAGAGTCGGGGCAACACGTCAGTAACGGGTGGAAGTTGGCCTTTACGGTCTCTAAGGGCCCTGGTGTGCCAGAGAGGAGGACGAAGTTGGGGCGCAGGCGCTGCAGCTGACTTTCCTGGCAGGTGAGTCCCTCCTCCGGGTGGCCTGGGGCACGATTCGCAGGGCCTTGTCTCTACGACTAAGGATGGGCAGGCCGAGGTGCTAAGAGGTTCTGCAAAGTTCCTCAACCTCTCTGCCTCGTTACTCCCCGCTGGCCTCTAGCTGAGGAATGAATTGCCTGGTGGCGGCCAGGGCACAGTAGAGCGAATGCACAGCGGCCACGGAAATAGGAGTGCGTGAAAACCGAAACCGAGCTCCAGGGATCCGGTGAACCCCATCCGGGCAGGAGCGGCTCCTTGAGGCCACGGTGCAGCCACGCCACTACCCGCCCGGCGTGGGGGCAGGAGAGGGGAGCCCCAGCCAGGGGTTCCGCACCCTCTCCGCCCCCTGCCAACACCACGCCCGTACTTATTTGCATTTAAAGAGAAACGCACCAAGGAAAACAGTGGGCGGGCCGGGCACGCCTTCTCACCATAGTGATTGGGTCATGCCCCTGCCAATCAGGACGCAGATGCCCCACCCAGTGGCCATGGAGTACGGGGGGGAGGGGGTATGGGGGAGCTACCCAAAGCCTGGGGAAGGGGAGTCAGTGCAGGAGGTGACTGGAGCCGCGGCGGTAGGGGCAGCAGCTGCGGTGGCGGCGCTCTCAGCCGCGGCAGCCTAGGCTGCAGCCCGGCCAAGGGCGGCGCAGCGGACAATAACCGCGCTGGGAACCTGACCGGGCCGGGTAAGCGTTGCGCACAGCCAGGAGCCTCCGCCTGCCAGCGGTCGGGTGCATTCCCGCGTGCTCTGCTCCTACGGACTGGAGGAGTGCACTGAGGACTGGGCGGGTCGGAGTCCCGGTCTCTCGCCCCTCTCCTTTGGAACCCGCTTTGCGGACTGTCGGGTAAGAGGCCGAGCGGCCTGAGTCCCCTGGGCACAAGTGACCACCGCTGGGGGGCGGGGGGAGGGGAGGGCGGATAGGCAGGCAGGCTAGCCTGGGCCATCCCTCCCGGCTCTCCCGAGAGGCGGAGATGGGCCCGCACGTGCTGCCGCATAGTCCCGGGAAGGGCGCCTCCAGCCAGCACCCCAAGTCGTGCATTTGTAGGCCGGGAGCTCCGCAGCTTTGTTGTAGCACATTTGCTGGAACAGCTGTGTTACACGGGTACTGCTCACCCCGGCTGCCTGGCTGCCGCCCCTCTCCTCCCCTGTGCATCTCCAGCCTGTCCCTCCTTTCTGCGGACTCAAGCTGGCGTTCTGGCTTGGGCCCGACAGAGACCGGCTTTGGCGTAGATTAAGACATCCACAGACTGCCCCCTCCCCTGAGGAGTTCAGTCGGGCCTGTGGGCTGAGCTCAGTTGCACACTTCCCTTCAGAACCTTGGCCTTGCGGCCCCAACTAGCCGCGCCCCTCCTCCTGGGCCTCCAGGCGCATCTGGCGCCCGCCCCCGCGGTCGGGCAGGCTGGCTGGCAGCCGGGCTCTTGCTGGTCCTTGGGTTAGAGCAGCGGCCCAAGCTAGTCCTTGAGTTAGAGCTGCAAGGCCGCTTTGTCTCCCCCCTCGCCTCACCTCCTTTTCCCTTGGAAGATACTGGCCGCTTTTTTCTCTGCAGCCTCTGGTTTAAAAATAGCGATGGACACGGTGTTTGGGGGGGCACTGGCTTGCCAGAAGCCGAAAGGTCCGTCATTGTAGTACGAAACGCATCATACCATCTCCGTGTGTACAAGAGATCTAGCGAGGTGGCCAAACCCTCCAACTTCGCAGTTACTTAACATACCCAGCCCGCCAGGCCGCTGTCATTGTCTGCTGGAGGCACTTCTGACACTGGTGATCGCCCGAACGCTGGACTTTGCTTGCGCTCCCCCAGTGGTGAGGGGCTGGGCCGGCCGCATGCGTCACAGCCCAAGCACCTAGGCGGCAGCTGAACTGGCCCCGCAGAGCTGGTCTCTGTTTGGCCACGTTCCCCTTGGCATGGGACGTGGGGTCAAGGCAAGCCTTGTTCCGCACACAGACACCTCCCTCTGCGGCTCTGCTTGCCTGCTGCAGCGGCATGGGCAAGGTGGAGGGCAGGGCACTGCACTGTTGGACTGCCTGCCCCACTGGGTTTCAAGCAGAGCCCCCTTCCCCAGTGCAGCTCCCCTCATTCAGCCCCACGCACTGTACAGTTACTGCACCACGGTGTACCTCTGGCAGTGAGCTCTTAGCCCTTTCTGAGGAATAGGACAGAGGAAGCAACTGAGGGGCTTGGTAGGCTCTTCTTGGACCTTTGATTAACCTCTGGTTTGGAGAGCCCTTTGGGCTGCAGGGCCCAGGCAAGCTTTGGTGTCTTTGAGGAGGGGCAATGAGACCCAGTAAATCCCTCACTTGGGGGAAGGCTAGATATGGACTTTTATGACAGGAGCCAGGACCACAGATATTACACTACAGTCACCCCCTCCCACCTTGATTAGGCCCCAACACAAACCTCTACTTGCAGCTGGGCATCTCCATCCCAGGGCTGGACCTGCCCTCTGCCTTGTCTCAGGCCAACAGGCACCTAATGTATGTGCTCTATGTAACTCCCTTGCACACGCTCAAACCCACTCAGCCTACACCTGTCCAAATCTTACTTCTCAGACCCCAGTTCTGGGCCTACCTTTTCCTTGGTGCCTTTTCTGCCTGGGTCTTGCCCACCCATGTTGACTTCTTTCTTCTCGGAACTCCTCCAGGGCTGCTTACTTCTCCTGGGCATATTCAGGCCTAAATTATAATAGGAGGCAGACTATAATTAAGTTGGCCTGTCTCTGTTTTGTGTCTCTGATATCATGGATGTCTGGGTTCTCTCATAACCCTTTGGAGGAGTAAATAAAACCTGGACCTCAGCCACAAGCCTCTCAAAGCCAAGTGTAATGATTGTTCCAGAAGGACTTGCTTTCTTTGTAGTTTTCGAGAAGACCTTTGCCTTTCCAACTTGTGCTTATCCTGATTCATATGAAAGTGACTAGAAAAATGGTACTCAAAGCTGAGATATGTATTGACTGTGCCTAATAAGGACAGATTAGAAGGGGGATGATTGCAATTACAAGAAAAAAATTAGGATATATCCTCCCCCAACAACAGGCTCAGGATTTGGAATGCTCAGACCCCAGACTATGCATATCTTTGGTTGCTGATTCATGAGCCTAGAGGCAAACTACAGGGAGAGAGAGATGAAAGATCTGTACAAGCAGGGGGATCATCCTTGGAAGCTGCCAGAGAGTAGAGGTGTTTGGTAGGCAAAGGGTAAGCAGACCTAGGAATGGGAGGGGAGAGAGTGGTTGACAGGCAGGGTGAGGGGGGTAACTGAGTCTATTCTGGTTTAGATGGTGTGGCTCAGAGGTAGAGAAGAGGTTGAGGCTCAGTGGTGGGGTTTCCCAGATGCCGGGCTGTAGAAAGGGAATCTGATCCTTTTAGGGGAAGGGGGCATCAAAGAGTAGGGACTTGGCAGGGAGTTGGTATTTTTTTATATATATATGCTATAATACAAACTTTTCAAATGAGATTTAGAATGGGGTCTTAGAAAGGGATCAGAAGCTTGCTGCAAAGTCAGGCAGGTAAGAAGCCACCTTTGAATCTGGAAATAGAGCTGTGGGCAGGCTACCTCCAAAGGAAAGTTTTAGTATGTCAGCCTCCTTTTGGAAATGCAGGGGAAAAGGCAGGAAGAAGTAGGAAGCTGGGCATAAATACCAACGTGGTTGGGGCTGAGACGTGTCCCCCAGGCCTCTGCTGATGGGGGCTTTTGTTGGTCCTCGGGTTAGCACCAGGTTGAACTCCTGTGCTTACAGATGGGAATCCTGAGCCTTGGAAAGAAACAGGGGCTTGCTTAAGGTCACACAGCTATTTAGGGATAGACTGCTGCTTCCTGTACAGCAGCCCTTTCTACTGTGTTCAGTGGAAAGGGCCGCTGTACAGGAATCAATGCAGATCTCATTAACCATCACCCTCATCTTACCTCCCTCATTCCCTAAGAGGAAAGGGGGACTGAGTTAACTTGGGAGCTTCATAAGAGGAACCTCTCTGTCGTTTCCTATCTCTTTTGCCTCTTGGTCTTGGTCTGCAGCTTTGCTTGGACTAAATATTTCAGAAGGAGAGGAAGTAGTTAAAAGAATCTGGCAGTCTAATGACCCCCTCCTAGTATAGTGGAGGTGTTAAAAATTCTTCAAGCATGGTGGTTCACATATGCAATTCCAGCATTTTGGGAGGCCTAGCCAGGTGGATCACTTGACCCCAGGAGTTCGAGACCAGCCTGGGCAACATGGTGAAACCTCATCTCTATGAAAAATACAAAAAAATTAGCCTGGGGTGGTGGTGGTGGTGTGCATCTGTGGTCCCAGCTACTCGGAAGGCTGAGGTAGAAGGATCTCTTGGGCCTGAGACATCAAGGCTGCAGTGAGCCATGTTCATGCCACTGCACTCCAGCCTAGGCAGCAGAGAAAGACCCTGTCTCAAAAAACAAAATTTCTCAAGAACTGTTACATCTCCACTCTTGGATAGTATGTGTGGGAGAAACAGCCCTGCTCCACTAGGAAACAGAAGCAAGCCTGGCAGGTAGAACTAAGAAGGAGAAGGGGTTTCCAGCCCCCATTGCTTAACAGATAGGGTATCTGAGGCTAGAAGAGATAATTTCCAATGTTATTTCAGTTTCCCTGCCTGAATCCTGTCTGGGCAGATGCAGTGGGTGATAAAGGGTTAAGACCCCATGGCAATATTTCATAGCCTTTCTGTGTCACTCACTTCTGGGTCACCTGCCTCATTGTCCAGTTCATTCTCAGGGCTATTCTGAGCCTTTCATGCTGTAGTTAAACCTTGCATGTGTGTTTGTGTGTATGTGTATGTGTTGGGGGAAGGAGCTGAGAGCAGCTGGCCACCATTGCTCGTCTGCTTAACAATCCAATAGAGATTTCATAGACACTAAATTCTCTCTTCACCTCCAACTTCTGTTCTCTGAATTAAATAATCTCAGAGTCTTCCATCTCCGCTGCTTTGTCTTATTTTTCAAACCTGTGCATGTGTAAGTGTATTTCTAGCA